AATAGATAATTTTCTAAGTCAACAATGTAATCTCCGAAAAAATTGTTYAGATCGGCTCACTATAGCRTATAGCTGTCATATAAACTGAACGATCGGAATCAAGTTCTTGTATGGAAAACATTCACGTTTAATAAGATATATTCACGAAATTTGGTATAGATAATTTTCTAAGGCAACAATGTAATCTCCGAAAAAATTGTTCCAATCGGTTAACTATAGCATATAGCTTCCATACAAACTGAACATATAGTTACTAACATAAATGCACCTGTGAAGGGTATTTAGCTTCGGTGCAACCGAAGTTAACGTTTTTTCTTGTTATAAGCAGATTTTGAGATGGCTTTCCGCATTTTCAGCGAATTTTGCTTTATCCCTTCTGAGAATGGGTTCTGCATTGCGCCGAATTTAGTTTGGGGAATAAGAAAATATCACAAGAAGCCACACCTGGCGAATACGGTGGTTGATCGATGGTATTATTTACGCTTTTGGCTTTAAATTCGGTCACAATCGTGGAACGATACGGTGGTGCATTATCATCGTGTAAAATCTATAAATTGTTCTTTCCCAATTCCACCCGCTTTTGATGGATACTCTAACTCTCAAAACAGCCAAATAGAACTACTATTGATTGTCGAGAGACAGACAACAAATTCATGAAGCACGTAACCACGAATATCGAAAAAAATGAGCATCACCTTAGTTTTTGAGCGGCTTTGGCGTATTTTTTTTTTTTTTTTTTATTTTTTACCCTCCATTCCATGGCTCGTCGGCAGTTATGATGCTCTCCATGAATGTGAGATCGGAATTCGCACGTTCAAGTATGTCTAAAGGGACCTTTTTACGGTACTTGTTTTTTTGGAAAATTTATCGCTTTATCGGGGAGAGTCGAGCAAAAGGTCGATACCAAAAATATCCACAAAATCATTGTAATGCACTCGCGAGAGATGTCGAGTTTTCCTGCAATCTCTCTACCACTTACCTGACGATTTTCAAGCCCCATATGAAAATAAGAAAAGAGAGTTTAATGGATGATTAAATATGTAATTTTATTATATAATGGAAGGACTATACACATATTAGTAAAACTAATACCATAATTTCTGACCTTCTTAATTATTTGATGATCCCATTTTAAACCTTACAAACTCAGAGCACAAGATGACTATGCCCAAGGCAGTCCATTTCACTATTCATTATAACCACCTCTGCTAACCCTTGGAAAATTGCAGGCAAATATAAGAATAATATAGCTAAAAGAAAGAAAAGAAATAGCAAAAAATGCATATCGCAAAATTACAAGAATTGTCCAAACAACGCAATAAGCAAAAATTACAATCAAAACCTTACTATGTATAGCCATGGTATGTCATCAGAGGATTGTCGACGACAGCAACTCAAGCAAACTATGGATGATGAATTTTAAATGCAAATTGCGATTATAATAGAAAGTGCTTACGCGTCCTTGTTTAACTATATACAGTGATGGGCAAATTATTAGCAGCGGGTAGTTTTTGCTGCAGATTTGCATTTGCAACAGATCAGAACTGTCTAGAAACAAAAGCTGGATATTCTTCTTCTTCTTTGCTGGCGTAGACACTGCTTACGCCGTTATATCTGAGTTAACAACAGCGCCCCTTTACGCAAATTGGCGTCAATTCGAGATTCCAAATGCAGCTAGGTCCTTCTCCACCTGATCTCTTCAACGGAGTGCAGATCTTTCTCTTCCTTTACTTCCACTGACTGTACTGAAACCAAAACCTTCCAAGCTGGAATGTTCTATTCCATCCGGTCAACATGACCTAGTCAGCGCAGCCGTTGTATATCTCGCACAGCTCATCGTTCCATTGACTGCGGTACTCAGTGTTGCCAAAGCTTTTCTCTCGAAAACTCCTCAGGCCGACTCCATGTCTCTGCACCATATAGCAGGTCGCAAATGATGAAGGACTTGTAGAGTTTGTCGGCCTAGAATACAGTGCTTATATGGAAACTATTTTCATTTGACGAGATATCTACACGTAATTTGGCAAGGGTTATCTTTCAGAACAATAATGCAACCTTCGAAGAAATTATTCACAACGGACTACTATAGCATATCGCTACCCCACTACTCATGCAATAAGAAGTGCACCTATCAAAATTATTATAGCTTAGGTGCAGCTGAATCTAGCGTTTTTCCTTGTTTTATGTAGATTATTACATCATTCGTTAAAAAATGCCTCCAATATTTTTTTCTAACTAAAGAATTTAAATTTGTAATTTTTCTTTAAATCATTTGTCGTAACATACGGTCACTGGAAAATGTAAACAAATCACAGTTGATGTATTATATCATACACAATTTAGCTTAGCGAGCTATGAATACACTAAATTTTTCTCAAAAATCGCATGGCTGTTCAGCAAATGTTACAAAACGCGTTGACAATAATTTGCTGCTTCAGTGTACTCATAACCAATTCGTCACAGGGATATAAATTCATATTTATGTATATATAGGCCAACGTACATACATTCATACAGCAGCATGTCATTCATATTTTTTGGCGAAAAGCAAGCAGGCCAACAATCTCTGCTAATGCGTTATTATCCTTTCCCGCGGCTTTTGCTATGCGATAACAAAACGAAGCGCTTTAGCTGGCAACGAAAAACAGCAACATAAACTACAAATGGTATTATATTCGAGCATAAATCCTATTGTATAGTGGGGCGTTTACACACAATTTAACGCCACCTTAACATTATTCATGCAATCCTTTGGCAGCGAAGATTTATACATGCATTTGTGTGACCCCTAGGCAGGGGTGTCAACTGCTGCACATACCGCACAAGCTGCCGGCGCGCCAAAAAATCTCGGCGTATCCTTAAATGGCCACAGTCGCTTAAGCTGCTTGCCACAGCGCCCATGACTAGCTAGTGTTATGCGCTATTGTGTGCACACTTGTTATGCATTGGATGGTTGCTAAGCGTTGCATTGCGAAACAAAAAGTGTTAAATCTTGTACTGGCACAGATTTTAAACGTTTTTTGGCCTAATATGTGCGTGTGCATGTGCTTAAGTGTTTTATTTTTTGTTTTGATACTCGAACGAATTTATTTTGTTGCTGATATTGTCAACGGGTATTGTAGAGCGCACAATGGCATTGCCAGCATGCGTTACTTTTATGTTATTTGTTTGCATTTCTTTGGCGTATTCGCTGGTTTGACAGCATTCGTCAACTGAGTGTACCTTCGTTACATGTGTCTAAAGTTATATGGTCCTTACATTGCGCTTTTTTTTGGCATTCTTCTCGCGTAAGTGTCTTTTTATGACAGTTTAATATAAATGTTTAGAACAAAAACTTGCGCATTTACCGGAGAACAATGAATTATTTGCGCACATTGTTCTTCATAAGTTTTCTTGCAAAGTAAATGTGTTAGAATTGAAAAGTAAAGAAAAAGTTAAAACAAAAAGAAAGTAATTGCTATTTTCATTATTATATTAGAATGTGTTAATGCGCACACACGGGCACCTTTAATGGTTTCATCGGCTGTAATTACTTCCTTGCGCTAGCTTAATAACGTGTAAACCGTGTTTGCGTTGATACGTAATAGCTTTACACGGATATCCGAAAATTTTCGCTGTTTGCTTTTGCTCGTTAGCAACAACTGTCATTAAGGATAAATTTACATGCACTCCATAATTATAAAAGGAAGAAGAAAAATTTTAATTTCTGTAACAACGAAGCGATAAAAAAATTTTCCATACAAAAACTAAATTTTGATGGGTCAATTTGTATGGCAACTATATGCTATAGTGGTCCGATTTAAATTTTTTGGAGATTGTAGCGTTGCCTTAGAAAATAAAATATGACAATTTTCGTGAATATATCTCGTCGAATAAAAAAGTTTTTTATACAAGGACTAAATTTTGATCGTTCATTTTCTATGGCAGCTATATGCTATAGTGGTCCGATAACAGTGGTACCGACAAATAAGGAGCTCCTTAAAGAGATAAGGACATGACTAAATGCTGATAACTTAAATGCATACATACATATCTATATATTTCTAGAGTCTTCGATTTTATAGAGTCTTCGACGTTTCCTTCTGGGTTTTAAAACCTTCGTGGCAAATTTAATGCACAAAATTTTATATTAACGTAAACTTATGTTGCTGCTTTTCGTATACTTGTGATCCTAATTAGGTGACTGTGCAAAATTCGAAATTGCTTAAACGTACATAAAATGGCTGATTTCATGGAGGCAAAATTTAATGCAGAGCGCTTTTAAAATGGCTGCTTCAATGCAATGTGCTATTTACACGAACAAAACTGACAGTGAGCAACTAGACAAAAGTACATACAATTTAACGCTCAAAAGAAACTTCAGCCGCGCGACTAACATACAAGCACATAATTTTAGTGATTTAAATTTAAAAAAGAAAAAATTGGACTAAGCAATTTAAAAACAAAACATGATTGACTGGGTGTCAATCGTTCGACACTCGCGTCGACGCTTCTCTAACTATGTCGGTGCGCGTTCGCCAGTGCGTATACGTCGACGGCGCAGACAGTTAGTTGCGCCACCGCTAGCAGCAGCGTCAGCAGCACCAACAGCGCCCACGAAACACAGCAGCAGCAATGCAACGACGCCGGTGGGCGCAGCAAAAACGCCCACTGGTAGCGCAGAAGCACACAGCGGCAAAAAGAGTAGCAGCAATAGTGGCAGTGGCGGCGGCGGCGCTCAGTACGCCTGCTGTTGCGCCAATGTAAGTGTTGGCAGCGGCGCATGCATCAATGACAGCACAAGAGAGTGCTCGAAAAATAATACAGCACAACTGTGTATATTTCCTATTTGCTAATATGCTCATTTAAAATAATTTGTTGTCCCACAAATTTTTTTGTTCACATTAATTTTAAAGCTATTATTGCGCACTGTTACTTTGTGTGCTAAGCACTTATTACGTGAAATGATGTCAAAAAGTAAGAACTTATGAAGTTTTTTTCTTTTTATTTCTATTTTGCAGAATCAGCGCATGAAAGTCGATGGCGACGCCGACATTCCCAAAGAGAGTGCGGGAGTTAGCGCTAGCGGTACGGGCGCAAGTGAGGGCGGCAGCAGCAGTGGCGCAAAGGTGGCGGCCCGTTCGCCTGAATCGGCGCCCTATCAAAACCGTCAGCAACAGCAGCAGCAGCCCAATACCAATGTGGACACTGTGAGCAGCGAAGCTGTAAGTGTCAATGTCTACAATAATAACAAACACAATAGCCAATGCAATAGCAATAATAACAATAACATTGTTTCGAATTCAGACGTTTGCATAACGCCAATTTACCACTTTAATTGCCTGCAAATGGGCAACTAATTCATGTTTTGTTTAAAAGTCTATATGCGCCAGCGGTGAATAACTTCTTGGATTTTAATAATAATTGTCATAGTGGCTTTTATGTCGGGTGAATTTCTCGTGAGGCTTAACTTAGAACTCGGACGAAGGAAAAAACTGAAAATTAGATTTCTGGCAGACATTTTTACAAAAAAAAAAAAATAAATAAATAAAATTAAAATTTCCCGATATTTTTTTCCAATAGCCGAAAAAATCCTTCGACGAAGTCCTTAAAAATTGTATCTCAAAGACCTGTGTAAAATTTCAAGAAAATAGCTTGAGAAGTTCTGGAGAAATATTGCCAACCGACTTCAAAAACACAGTTTTGAGAGGAACGTGTTTAAAAACGGCGTTCTTAGTCTAACTGGCCTCGATCGCATTTGGGACAATATTCTAGAGGTCTTGTAGAATTTAATAATACAATAAAAAATTTGATTTTTTTGAAACCCGTAAACCCATGTAACCCCTTGAAAATGAAGTGATGGAGTTGATTGAACTCAGTGGCTACACTTTATAGGCATGCAATATGTAATCATACACTAATTAATTCTTATACCTGTAACTTATTAGCCAGTAAAATTAGTAAGGAAATAAGGTGCGGCAGTGTCCCCTTTCTCTATTTCGCTGCGCCCTTTTGCAAGTTTTGCGTTTCCGCTCGCTTAATACGTTAATGTTTTTTGTGTTACAACAACTTAACAATAAATCACAATGCTCGTTTTCTTTCGATTTTCATGTCATTAACTTTTTTTCTTATATTACGTAATTTTGGCGTAAATGAAATAATTTTCATTTCTTTTCGTACGTTTTCCTTTATTGCGCTAAATATTGCTCGTGCTGAGATCCCTAACATGCCAATATAGAAAGTGATTATTACTTTTGTTGTAATTCTGCATTTTGTCGCTTGTGTTTATATATTATTAATTACTTTTAATTTACTAATATATTTAATTAATTAATAAATATGTTTATTTAGGTTGTACGTTTTTATATGATTTTTGTAATTGCTTAACAATTCATTTGCCAATTCTTGATAAATAAAAGTGCTGCTTAAGTTTTTTGTATGGCATGTTGCATTTTATTTTATTTCGCTGAACAAAAAGGTTTGTATGTAACTTTTGATTTAATTTTTATATTTTTAATATATTTAAGTATTTTTAATCACAAATATAATTACATTTTGGTTTCATTATTTTATAATTATTATTAATGCAATTTTTTAAATTTATTTAACTAAATTAGTTATAAATATTTTATTAAAAGTCTTTTCCAATTATTTTAACACCAATGTGTTCCCATTTACACCATATATTGTTATTGAAGAAATTCACCACAGCGAGTTGCGCTATTCTTACGCGCTGTGGCATCTCTGTGCGCCGCAACAAGTTCATTGAAAACGTTGCCAATCATTTTTACGCGCTCTCTTCATTTCTTTTTTGCTTTTGTTTTCGCCTCTTCTCCAATTCGGGTGTTGCTTGCGTAGCGGCATTTCGTTACGCATATAAATCATTGTTTTCGTGTAAAGAACTGTAAAAAATTATACCAAACTAATAAATAAACAGTGTTTTAGTGAAATGGATTCGTTTAATAATGGAAAAGTGTCGTTTAAGCAACCAATAAAACATTTCATATCATTTGAAAGTTATTCAAGTGATTGACAATGAAAGAGCCAACGAACAGAAAGCTAGATTTGTGAGTGTCAAATAGTTGTGGAGCATTGCCAGCTGTGTGAAAGAATTGTAAAATAAGTTTTGCTTCGAGTATCGAATTGATGCGGTCGTAAACATGTTGCGCTGGCAGTGAAGGTTTTCTATTATTTTGTTAACGGAGGGACTTTGACACAAAAAAAAAGTTTAAACTCAATAACGCGCGAATTTTGCAAACATATTAAATAAAAAAGTAAACGTAGTATTTGTGTTTCCAATTGGCACAGCAATAACACAGATTTTGCAATTCCTAGCGTTTTTGTTTTTGTTAGAGTTGTAATGACGAGCGGTCATAGACAGAGCAATGGCTGAAGGTGGTGTCACTGGGCTCGTTGCCGCGTTACATGTTTATTATCGTCAGCAAAGTGCTGCGGACAGTTTGTTAGTTTAGTCAAGCGCTTGTAGCTCCAGAGTGCTGCAGTTGTCGCGAGATTGCGTGCGCGAACGAAAAAAAAAACGCGAAAAAATTCAAAATGCTAAAAATAAACTACATGTTCTAAAAAGTAAATAGTTGGGTGCAACATGAAAAAATTACAGCCGTTGTAGCTTAACAAAAGCAAAAAGTAGAATCGGTGCGGTGACAGAGGTAGTGTTGAAGCACGCGAAATAATCGCCAAGAGGAAAAAGTGACAGAAAGTAAATGAGAGAATAGAGAGAGCGAGCAATTGTTTTAAAAGTCGCGGCAGCGAGAGAGCAGAAAGTGGACAACAAACATTAACGGCGTGTGAAAATAGAAGAAGAAAAAAGGAAGCAAGCAACTTTAGTTCGTCGCGCAGTGTTTTTATATCATACAAATGTTTATTTTTTATTTTTCGTGCGCGTAAAAATTCTGAATTGAATTTGAAATAAAGTCGAACGAACGCAATACAGCAGCGAGTGACATCCATAGCAATTGTCTGCCAGTGATTTCGGGACGGGACAAGCGTGAAAAAACGCTAGAAAATAGTGAAAAAGTGCCTTTTTATATAGGATAATTTCTTGAGGATTAGTGTTTGTGTGGCGCAACGAGATGACAACGCGTAAGAAGAAGCGTCAAGATGGCAGTGGTAGTGGTGGTGGCTTCATCAAAAAAGTATCCTCGCTTTTTAATTTGGATTCGGTAAATGAAATGTTATTTACATAAATGCGCTAAACCTAATTTGAATATTTTTGACTTTAGTAATATAATTTGCAATTGGAAAGACGTTTCAACAAATTTGAAAATTTTTTAAAATTATGTCGGCGTTAGTGGGTGATGTGACTGGGTGTTATGGACACATTCACTGCATGATTCCATAGTTTATTTTTAAATTTACTTGTCGGCGATTGCTAGCACCAAAGTGCTCAACATTGCCAGTTTATTTTCTGTGTACAAAAGCAAATTTGCTTTTGCACTAAACAAAGTGGCTGATATGTTGTAGCTGGCCAAAACACACTGTCAAGCCGTTTTCGATAGCTCGGCAACGCCCCTGTGACGTTCTTCACTCTTTTACGACAAATAACCATATGCAAGTGGAAAAATGTAAAGCAACTAGTGGTACGTAATAGTATTGTCTACATTTGGCTGCTTGTTTAATATTTTCATTTGGTCAATTGGGCGCAGAGTACATTCATGCATAGTTTGTTGTGGTGTCGCAATCGACACAAATTCACTTGGAAACTCATATTCTCTTATATCCACCTTCGCTGGATCGTACAAGCAGCATCATTCATGTACTAAGATATGTATGACATATGTATGTATGTACCACTAAGCCCAGTATGGCCTACTTCATCTGTTTCTGTTTTCGTCGCCGTCTATGACAGCAACACAAGAACTAGTATTCGCGTTGATCATGGTAGCTATCTTCCGCGTGGTGGAACTTCCACCAACAACTTGCAGAGTTTTTTGATTTTTTATTGTGGTAATTTTTGCCGCCTCATACAGAATTTTTTTACTCTCGATGAATTTGCCTAACTTGCAAGTTATTTTCGCGCACTTGACGTTATAGCTTGGTGCCAGCTGTAGCAATAGCCGATTTTGTGCGTCATGCTGCTTCACATGTGTACGCTGCCCCCGGCGAAACTGATGACTTTTCCTCATTGCTTCTATCTGTGCTTCTTAGAAATTCCTACATACTTTCTACTTTGTGTTGTTTCTTAGTGCACTTTTTGATTTTTTTGGTTGCGATCGTCTTGTTACAACTTTTATTCTCACTCAAATGCTGCTGCTGCTACTGCCGCATAAACGTGTTGAACCTGATTCACATCTGATAATATTTGCTGAAAATAGAAAACTTTTATGGCAATTGCCTACTCTCTCTCACACACATTCTCTCCACGTTCACACCTTTCTTTTGCCCTTGGATGGGTGAATCTTAAATAGTTAGTAGTGTGATTTGCACAGGAAGCTGCCGGCGGGCTTTGCATATCCTGTTTTGCAAGTTATCACTTGGAATCTACTCAGTTTGCTGTTAATTTTTCAACCATTATTCAACCCGAGTTGAAATTTAGAACATGTATACATACATAAGATTTCCGTTATTTTATGACATTTAGCGTACGAATTGAGTAATTTTTCCAAATTTTTTTTTTTATTGTACTTTCAAGTGAATAATTTTTTAATGGCAAGTAGCCAAAAACTGTGCTTAAATGAGATAATTTTGCTATTTCCTTTGTGCTATGCCACAATTCTTAGTACACCGTGTTGGGTGGTATCTCGCGTGAGATAAAAAAATAACTAAAGCTAAAAATATTTCTTCATAAATACAGTTTTTACTTGCGAACGCATTTGTATGTACATTAATATGTATGCATGTGGTCTTTCATAGCTCTTTCACAGACAGGAAATGTTTCCACAAAATACGTTATAGCTAAAGAAGCTATCAATTCCAGATGTTATAGCACAGATTTGGTTTTTGTTAACTTCTCCATTCATACTAAATGCATGCAATTTATATGTGTGCCGGCAACCTGTAAACATTTATGCTACCCACACCGGTAGTAAATTTAATAAAATGATTATGTATATAAAAATTTTTTTTTCTTTATTTTGTTTTATATTTTCATTAAATGTCTTGTTCATGCTCACTTAATTTATTCATGTTGATTTTTGAAGGACATTTCTTTGTTGATTAATTATTATTTTTCTTCTGTCCCGTGGTGAGTTTATTGCCTTCCTTTCAG